CACTATATGAGGTAAGTAAATATAATTTCACTGAATTGATCAATTTCATGTTTTCAGTCTTTACATAACTCTGTCTATGTATAACATTTTTACGGTAAACACTGTTATGTCGTCCAGTCGCCGCTAGATTGCCACTTTGGTACACGCCTCTGTCGCTTCGGTCTCTCGGAGTTTGTAGACGACTCTGTATTTGGATGCTCGCTATTCATCTGCCTTCTCTGTGGTATGATGTATTTTTCAGTACTTTCGCTGTTGTTGTTGTTGTCACTTGTTACTGTTGTTTTAATTGGAAGTAGAAGGTTTCTATGCAAGGTTTTAGTTTTCTTTGTTGTTGAATTCTTCTTTTTGATGACATATACTGGTGTATCTTTGTTTGGTTGTTCTAAAATGATATATGGTTCTGTTTCATATTTGTCCGCAATCTTATGTTTACCTCTGATGGTGACATTTCTGGCTAGAGCAATATCTCCTGGTTGTAAATTTGATGCTCTTGATCTTCTGTCGTATAATTCTTTGTTTTTCATGGCTGTATCTTCTGCAGATTCTTTTGCTTTTGCATATGAATATGTTAACCTGTCTTTGAGCTTTTTGACGTATTCATTTCTTGATTTCGACTGTATTTCGTCAAAGTTTAGTCCAAGTAGAGCATCTATAGCCAACTTAGGATGTCTTCCAAACATTAGGAAATATGGGAGAATCCAGTACTGTTATGTATCGTGACGTTGTAAGCGTTGTACCAGAGGTCCGACATAAGCTTTCCAGTCACTTTTCTTGCTCTCGTCTCCAATGTCCCAAGCATTTTCAAAAGGGTCTGATTGAATCTTTCCGTCATACCGTTGCCCATAAGCGTGATATGGCCCGTGGTTCGAGATTTGCGATGTTTCCTAATTTGCACAGTTCTTGTATCAGTCCAGATTCGAAATTGGCACCTGATCGCTGTGTATTCTTGATGGAAATCCATAGTGGATTATAAATTGATTCGAATAGCACTCTTGCAGTCGTCTTGGCTGTTTGATTCTTGGTTAGGGTAGGCCTGGCGTATCTGGTAAAGTGATCTGTTATCACCAAGATATGCTCAAAAACCCACCCTTGGAACGCTCAAGGCTGAGGAAATCGACACATATGATTTCCATGGTGCGCTGGACGAGATGTTCACTAAGGGGGCTTAATATGACTGTGACTTTCTAGCGATGCAACGTGGACACTTGTTGACCTTTTCCTCGATGTAAGAGTCCATTCCAGACCAAAAGAACCTCTGTTTGAAAAGAGAAATTGTTCTGTCCCCGACCCTGGTGTCCTAGGTCATCATGTAAGGCTTGAAAACACTTCTTCTCTGATTGTTTCTGTAATATTAACTGTTTATACTGTTGACCTTTGTACCGACTGTATCTATAGAGAATACCATCCCTGAGTTCAAGATTGTCCCAATCCCTCAAGTATTTGGCTGCTGGACTAATGCTTCACTGACCCGCTTAGCAGACGGTCTAGTGCCTTTTCCATGTGCTCTATAAGTTGAGATTGACTGGTCTTTATGTTGAGCTTACATCCAATCTTTGGAACTCAGTTGATTCAGATTCTAAGATATCGGATGGAATTTTCTTGCGATGTGACTCGATCAACAATGTCTATGAGTTCTGGATGGACGACGCAGAATGCAAGTGGGTGTTTCTGATGGTAGTGAAGTTTCTGCTAATGACATTGCTGATATGACATTTTCATTAATGGTCTTTTCATTTGACTGATTCTGTTGGGATTCTAGAAAGCCATCTGCGTCGGCATTGTTCTTTCCCGATCTTGTATGTTGTCTTGAAGTTATAGTTTGACAAGTGCTGCAAGCCATCTATGTCCCGTTGCGTCTAATTTGGCAGAGTAGTGACATACGTCAAAGGGTTATATCTGTAACAACTTCAAATACAGCGCCATAAAGATAGTCGTGAAATTTTTCAAAGTGACGGACCATTTCAGAGCGAGGTATTCCAGGCTTGTGTGCAGGGTAGTTTTTCTCTGACGGTTTAAACTTCTACTTGCATAGGCGATGACACGATCGATTCCCTCTTGACGTTGGTATAATACTGCTCCGAGGCCTTTGGAAGAAGCATCCGTATGAAGTTTAAACGGGAGGTCGTAATCGGCATATGCGAGGATAGGTGGATTGATCAGTTTGGATTTCAGTTCTTCAAATGCTGACTGTTGTTCTTTTCCCCATACAAATGGTTGTCTTTTGTTTTTCTTTTTGGATGGTTTGTCACCTTTCAATGAATGTCCTATTAACAGATTGTTTAGTGGTCGCAGGCAATTTCAGCAAAATCCTTTAATGAATCTTCTAAAGTATCCAACAAATCCTAAAAATTTTCTAATTCTTTCACAGATTTTGGTATCGGCCAATTTTTCGCACGACTTTTGTCTTTTCTGGATCTGTTTGTATGCCTTGTTTTGAAACTACATGACCAAGGTAAGTAACACTATTTTTAAAGAAACTCGCATTTCTTGGGATTGATTGTCAAGTTATTGGTTGATAAACGCTGAAAAAACGGCATCTAGGCGATCTATGTGTGTGTCTATGTCTGTGGAGAAAATGATTATATCATCCAGGTAGATTAAACAGTCTCTTCAAGTTTAGGTCACCCATGCATCGCTCCATGAGGCGCTGGAATGTCGCGGGGGCGTTACAGAGGACCGAATGGCATCCTAAAATTGCACTCGTAGAATCCAATTCCCCAAACTTGAGAAAGCGCGTCTTCTCCTTATCTGACTCTTCCATTTCCACTTGCCAGTAACCAGATTTTAAATCGAGTTTTGAAAAGTATTGTGAACCAGCCAAAAGATGTAAGGTATCGTCAATTCTAGGGATAGGGTAGGCGTCTTTCTTCGTTCTACTATTTAAGCTTCGGTAGTCGATACTAAAAGCGAATGTTTTCCATCTTTCTTTTAATGATAACTACGTTCGAAGACCAAGGACTGTTTGACTCTTTGATTGCACCTATTGTCAACATTTCTTGCAGATGTTCTCGAACTTCATTGTAAATTGCAGGAGGGACTCGTCTATAAGGTTCCTTGAATGGGTATCATCTGAGAGCTCAATTTTATGACGGACTGCTGTAGTATGTCCAAGATTATGCGGACCCTTCGGAAACACTGATTCCCATTTGCTGAAGAGATTGTAAACTTTTTGTTTCTGTTCAGTTGTAAGTTGTGATTTCTTCTATGTCTACACCATAAGCTTTGTCTAATATTCTTTTCATCATTTACTTTGTTTTCCTTTTCTTTTTCAGGTACAGTCTGAAGATGTGACGTGATGTAGTCTGTGTGTTCCGGTAAGTATTGTCTACTGATATCATATTTGTTTTCCTTTTCTTTTTCAGGTTTATCGCTGCCGATGTCTGCGTGTCTTAACACCTTTACTTCATTGAGCTGACAGATTTCAGTTTTAGCTGGAATTTTCAGAACTTTTGCAGAAATGTTACATATCTTCACGGGAACACGTGCGGTCTATCCTGAATTAGTAAGTCGAACAACACGAGGGGTAACTAATGACTTTTGTTGATAATTGTCTTCAATTGGTTCAGTAACAGCTGCCTCAACATTCCTAGTTTTGCGTACTAAGCCACTTATTGTTCTACTTTCCATAGGATTGAGTGTTATAGGCTGTGTTGACGTAACGATACCAACTGACGCAGAAGCAATAGACATAAATGCAGACTTCCATGCATCTGGTGTATCTTCTTTTTCAGGATTGTGTTCTTTTAGTTCCCGTATAACGTTTGTGCCTATCAACACAGGGACATTATGATGGTATTCAATTGTTGGTACAACAAGAAATAGAGTTGTAACTGAGCCATGAGAGAATGTTTTGCTTTCTATTGTAGCTTCAATATATCCCAGAAAATTCAAAAATGTTCCATTTGCTGTTTTAACCTCTAATCCGAAGTCTTCTAAACTATGTAGAAAAGGTTTGTTGGGTAATTGATTATAGAATGTTTCAGAAATTGAACTGACCATGGAACCGCTATCTATAAGTGCTTTTGTTTCTACGCCTTCCAAAAACTACAGTGTTTCATTTGACGAACTACAAGTCTGTTCATAATGTTGACATTAGGGGGCAATTTCAAATGTTGTTGCCTTCATCATGCCCTGCGATGGAAGCACTTAAGAGTTTAAATCGTCCTTAACTGGCTTTTCTTTTTGATCCTTTTCTGCTGGTTTTCCTTCTGGTTTCTTTCTATCATCCTTTCTGTCTTCGTTGCTTTCTTTTGGTGATTTAGGTGGTATTTTCTGTCGGTGGTCTTGTCTATCGTAATACTCCATATAATATGGTCGTCCTGGTGGCCCATAGAAGTCACCAGAATACTGTCTTCTGCCTCTAAAGTAGTTTCCTCTATTTGGATTTTCAAAGTAACGTGCATCTCTAGTGTTACCTTTATTGGAGTTTTCTATTCCACCTTTCTTAATGTTAGATATCTCTTGTTCTAATCTATTCATCTTATCCATGAGTGATTGCATCATATTCATTTGTTTGTCCATATAATACGATGTTGTTTTCATGCTTTGTTGTTGCATTTGTATTTCGCCTCGTTGACATGCTTGTGTTTCTTTGCTAACATTCACTTCTGTAGTCTGTGTGTTTACTGGCTTCACACTTCTTGTGTCTGATGACGTTCTTTTAATTTCATCTTCTTCTACTCTAGCCTTCTTACGTAGCACTTCAAATGTCGCATCAGATTCGTATGTAACTCGAGTATTGTTACGGAGCTTTTCACTCCTCAAACCTTTCCAGAACCTTTGTTTTAACAAGGCATTCTTCTTTCTTTCAGGTATTTCACCGGTCTCTACTGCTAGCTGCATAATTGTTTCTAGCCTTAGTGCCCAGTCAGATGTGGTCTCTTTTTCATCTTGCTTAGCATTGAAGAAGTCCTGCATTATTGAGTCTTCAGTTTGCGTAGTGCCGTATATGTCTTCTAACTTCTTGAGTATAACTGCAGAACTAGCCATTGGATCTATTGTCAAAAGACCTTTCTTGTATGACCCTTCAAAGAATTTCTTATTGTCTGCGCTATCAAATACTCTGGGTAGATTCCACTCTTAATGATACATTCCACCTCTATCTTCCAAACTTTGAAATCATTTCCATCAAACTGAGGAATTTTTGGTTTTCCAAATCCACTTCGATTACAGTTATGTTCTACCTTTGTGAATTGTGTGCTTTCCTTCTCTGTGTCATCATGAATGGATTCTTTTCTCCTTATCTCTTCTCCAACTTGGTCTGATAATCTTTCTTCTTGACGTTTTAATATCACAATCCTTTGTGTTCTCAGACTTTCGAGTTCCATCTTTTTCTGAATTTCTTTTTCAAGCCTTTCTCGTTCCGTTCTCTTCTGCCTTAATTCGTCCTTCGCTATTTGCAGTCTACGAATTCTTTCTACTAATTGTCTTTCTTCCTGTTCCTTTATTTCTCTCTCGTATTCTATCTGTCTGTTTTGTTCGTATAATTTTTGTAATATTTTTTGATTTCTTTCTGTCTCAGATCTCACTCTTTCTTCTTCCATCCATTGCTGTCCTCTAGGGTGATACTCTCTATATTCTTCTGGAACAATATTATATGTTGCGTCGGTACATCGACGTTCAATCTTTGGTTTAACGGTGTCATTTCTATTCCCTCTATAATCCTCAAGTTTGATATCCCCGTAATTTCCTGTATAACCATGTACGTGTTCAAGCATATCTGTTGAATCTGGGATAACATCTTCGCAATTCCTCCGTCTATAATATGTGGAGAATCTCCCATCATTTATATGAGTATCAGCTTAAAAAATATGGTTCACTGACGAAATTATCTTTAGGTTTGTTATATCTGTACTCTCTTTTATCGGCACCACCAATTTGTCCAAAATCGTCTTGATAATAACATTGTTGTTGTCTATTTATTTTGTCAGAGTCTTTCAAATTCCCTCTGTCAAGTGGATAACATCTGTTTTCAGCAGTGGTAGCATAGTGGCTTGCATTCTGTTTATATGTTGGACTATAATCACCTTTATCATTACCTTTGTCTATATCTGATATCTCATCCATGTAAATAAATCTGTTCGATATCCCTGTCTTTTCTGGAACTATCTTAACGTTTGTGTTTTCGTTTCTAGTACTACTTTGCATTCTATGTTTATCACTGTCTTTGTACTCTTCAACCGAAGGACTATGTGTCCAGTATTTCTTGACGAACCTTTCTTTGAATAATCACTTGTTGCTTCTAGGTTTTGCTATTTGTTTGGCTTAGCAAATCAGCGTTTTGTTGTCTTAAGACCTCCAACTTTTCATCTAGAACCATCATTTCTTGTGATAAGTCTATGCTGCTATAATCAATATCACGCGTCTGAAATTCATCTGAACTTTCTGGTTGGTCAGCATTGATACCTTGTCTATCAATGTCAAATGAAACGCTTTTTCTTCTTCCTACTAAATTTCCATTTAAAGATGTATTTTCTCTTCTCGTACTAACGTTTGCCCTGTCCTGTAGTATTTCTCTGTTCTCATAATCTGGCGTTCTCGATACATATTGCTATTTTGTTCTGAACTGTCATCGGCTCTTCTGTATGCTTGATTAATTGTGCCATTTGACTTTAATATTCTAGTATAACTGCCTTGTCTATCTCTGTCACTATCTTCTGCTTCGTGCTGGTTCGTATTTGCTCTATAGTTATTTGAAGGCATTCTAATCTCTTGTTCATTTCTTGTTTGTAGTTGGTCTCTTATAGCATCTCTTCTTAACTTTCTGCTTTCTCTTTTAAACATAGCTCCTTCCATTGTTCTTTTAAAACACTGCCACAACTCTTGTAACTTATTTCACTAAGTTTTATCTTCACAATATATCACTTGGCCAATCTATTCTGTTCACTTCTCAATATGTTACTTCACTTTCACTTCTCTTAAAAATACTTCACTTCGTCTTCACTTTTTTACAATACTTCACTTCGTCAATCTAATATTCTACTTCACTTCCACTTCCCTTCACAATACTTCACTTCACTAATCTATTCACTTCACTTGTCACTTCCCAATATAATTCTACGCTAATTCACTTTTCACTTAACTTCCCTTCAAAATACTTCACTTCGTCTTCACTTCCACTTCTCTTCACAATACTTCACTTCGTCAATCTAATATTCTACTTCACTTTCACTTCCCTTCAAAATATTTCAATTAACTTTGCCAATTCACTTTCTCTTTACTTCACACAACGCTGCTTCACTAATTCTCTTTCTCTATACTTCACAATGTATCTCTTCACCACTTCACATCACTTCATAATATTTCAATTAACTTTGCCAATTCACTTTCTCTTCATTTCACAAAACGCTGCTTCACTAATTCATTTTTTTCTTCACTTCATAAAATGCTGTTTCACTTAACTTCACCTCACAATAGTTCACTTTGCTTTATCAATTCACTTTCTCTTCACTTCATAAAATACTGTTTCCCCAGTTAACTTTCTCCTCTTTTTACTTCACAATATAAATCTTCACCAATTCACTTCGACATCAATTCATTTCACTTCACTTGACAATATTTCACTTGGCAATTCACTTTCTCTTTAATTTTCAAAATGCTGATTCACCAATTCAATTTCTCTTCTTTTCACTTCAATCTATATCTATTCAACAACTTTATTTCTCTTTACTTCACAATACATGTGAATCTCTTCACCAATTCCCTTCACAATATATGTTTTCACTAATTTATTGTCTCTTTACTTCACACTTTACACCAATCTACTTTTTCTTCTCTTTACAAAATTTGTCTTGTCTTTGTAATGCAATTTTATATATTTCAAATCATATTTCCGATTTCAGTGTGTTTGTATACCGTTTGTAATAGTGTTTTGCTTTTTTATTTATTGTAGGTATGTGTGTTTTATTGATATGTGATATAGTGTAAATCAGTTCTTTTGAAAAAAAAAAAAAAAAAAAATTGCCGGTCTGAGCTGGATTCGAACTTGCGACTATCAGATCCGTGGTCTAACGCGCTATCCGCTGAACCACTGACTCTCTATTACTATAACGCTATTTTTCCGATAGTGATTACAATTACCACTGTCCGCGGTCAGCTAAAGGATTACGTTCGATTACATTTGCAGTGGCGTATCTAGATATAAATCAATATCGATCGATATGACTTTATTTTGCAGATGTATTGTAAACCTGTATTTTACAAATTACCTGCAAAATAATTTTGTCAGCGAACATTCACGATTCGCGATGCAGCTGCGATTGATTTTCTATTTTATACCATATTTTACACAGTACTGATTTTAAAGGACAATTTTGAAGATAAGATGTCTCCAAATTTGTCAAATGTGATTGTAATTTTTCTATCAACTTATTTCTATAAGTTGAAGAAAATTGCTCTCTATATTTGCTGTACCTTTACTTAATTTTGCTGACTTTAAATCTTAGTTAATGCTCTACAGCTGAACACCATATACTCTACTTTCCTAAGCTATTTATTTATGCTAATTGACCAAATCTAAATGTATATTATATGGTCAATGTTAGTGTTGTTGCAGGGGCTAAGTGCAAAGTATCAATCCTATTTGGGACTTGTACACAAAAATTTACTTTCCTGAAAAAAAAATCACACTTACACAAAAATACACTTACCAAATAACATATATAACATACAATTTACATACAAAATGCATATAATTATATCAATGATAAAATATGTATTATAAATATATTATAACACTTGTTTATTTATATTTTTTTCAGTTCTGCAAAAGTTATACACAGTTGATTCTCCCTGGAAGCTACATCCACAGAATGAAATGTTACTTTGGACTGGTCCTGGAGTAGTGCAGAGTCTGCTATAGATGAACACTAGCGATAAAGTTGCGCAAATGATGTATAGATAATAAGGCCTCATTGATAAATTTAAAGCGAGTGCACTCACAAAACCTCTGATCAGATGTCTGTAACACACTGCCAATGGCTATAGGATGATCCTACATCTCAGTCACTTCATGTGCTCTGTATTGATCCGTGCTGTATCTCTAATCCAACCACCGTTTGGGCGCCACTGTCGCCGGGCCACTCATTCGGGGATATAATGACAACATGGTCGACAGATTTTCAATGGGTTTAATATTGTCATGGAAACATGGAAAGATACGCTCCTGTAATACATGACATAAACAAAACAATATAAATACAATGTCAAAATAGGGAGTAGCAATACATATTCATAAATATCAAAGCAATGCACGACAAACATTACATATTATAGTTTCAAATACACATGAATTACCTGTAGATATATTTATATATAACTACAAAATGGATATTTAATGTTTCAGCACAAAAATGGCTTGTTTACATTTTCAAAGTATGGCGGATATCACTTGATCGAATGTGATTGGTTAATATGCTCGTGCGGGGAAATCAAACGTTAGATCGATTACAGGGTGTAAGAGGATAAATATTGAGTAATAGCTATACAGGTGTACAGACTACCAATTATCCTAATACAGGTCTCACGACTACCACTACGCCTACACAAGCTACTCTATCTCTATAATTGGTGTTCAGGATTTTACTATTTTGATTGCAGTATAATTTATTTATAAAGACTAGTTGTATATTTATTTATGTCTCTGAAACAGAATAAACATTAAAGTATACAAAATGTTATAACATAGTTATACATTAACCCTATGACACAAACAAACTTTTACCGTTTTTGTTTTCACGGTGCATTATCCCTGTCGGTGCATTATCCCTGTCGTTAACAAAAAAGTATGAAAACACCACCGTAATATACCGTTAAATTCGGACCGCTACTTAAAAATGTTTGTTAATTTTCTATTGATGTACGGATGACCCAAAGGCGAAGTTTCTCATGCAAAAAGAAATTGTACTTCTGATTTCGCCACAATAAGGTTACAGAATATAAGGCTAATACAACTTTTGGTTGTCTGGGCACCAAAATAAGAACATGAGTCGATATGAAACACATTTAATTAACGAAATGTAGCTTTTTCTCTTTTTATAAATTTAATTCGATGTAGAATCTCTAAAATAAATTGTAAATATTAATCATAAAAGACAAGCAATACTGCAGTCACGTCATCTTGCTATGTAACTAGTAATTTACTTATGCACACATAATATTGTAAACATTGTAAAAGATTGTATATGACTCTTTCGAGAGAAAAGTTGCAAATTAAAGATACTTCTTTTTCTTCTTTTGTATGTTCCTCACTTCAACGGGTGTGTAGTGTCGTATGACTGGTGTAAAAAGTTACTCCATTATTCTCTACTTGTTGATATATCTTGGTCCATCGATATAATTGATACTGAATACAGCTTAAGCCCATACGTTTCAAGCCGGTGCTAAGGGGTGTAGGGTACATTGTATTGTGCATGTTTCCACTATCTCTCATTAATAGACTCAATCAAACCCAGAATCAAATCAATTTCATGTTTCTTGTGGTTTTGTTGTTTTCCTTGCTTCTGAGAATCATCCCTTTTCTATGTACATATATAGATACTTTATCTTTGAATGATCTCCCCTTTGGATAATTTCTTAACTAGACTTTACAAAGAACATATAAACAGACATAATTATAATATTAAGCTTACGATATCAGGTGTATCCATTTATCTGTTTTAAAGCCAATTTGATGAAGAGGAACGCTTGTTTGATCGAAGTAACTTGGTTGCCGATGATAACTGCTTTAAATATTTATAACATTTTGTCTGAGAAGTAATATATTCAGCACATTATTGGATCGGATGTTTATAATCATTTTATTTCCCCGAGAAAGATATTGCAATGCTTGACAAATACAAAATTAGACTGTATCTAGCTATTTTAAAATTCATAATTATCCTCTAGCTTAATTATATATTTATGTATTGTTACATAGACGTAAAATGTCGTCATTTTCTTGATTAACTTTTAGATTGGCAGATGTTATATTTTATTGTTGGAAGTTTCTCAAATTGAGTACTCAGAATTAACTAAGCAAGACATTAATAAGTTGACCAACACAGTTAATATGAATACCAAGAGTATATTATATGCTTGCATTTAACGCATGTTATATAAAAGTGTTAAAAATGCTAATAAACAACGTACATTGTTGTAACTGGATATTTTGGAAAACAGTCAAACGCCCCCCCCCCTCGGAAAATTGTACTCCCATAGGACGTATAAAAATGACTATATATTCTTCTCATGATCATTGACTTGTCGTATCGACATTTTGTAACATCCACATCTATAATAATAATTTGTCACATCACATATAGTGCAGAAAATGCATATTTACATAAGAAATACGTATGTACACTGTAATGTGTAATAAAGTGTAATTTATTAATTTAAACACTAATCAAGTATTAATTGCCATCATCCAGTTTTGAATGTCATCACAAAAATAATCTTCCGACTTAAGTGACAATGTCTTTTTGAACTTTAGAAACTATATGCATGTCTGTATATAAAGCATTTTATTATTTCATATCATTTTATTATTCTAAGTTTATTTAGACATCATTTACATATGGAAAAGACAATAACGAGGTGGAAGTAAGCATTTTTATTGAGCAGTTTGCTTATTAGGCTGAAAATAACTGGTCAACAACTCTATGTCTCACTTATGTTAATCTATAAAAAGAGTAAAATGACCACTATCATATGAAGATGATATAAAGCTATATCTCTCAATAGTATAAAGAAAATTCAATATTCAATACTTTTTAAAACTCTCATTTTATTTGTATTTTGTGGTGTTTATTTTTTCC